TGATCAGGAACCACACAAGTGAAGGTGGTCAAGGAGGAAAACAACATGAAAGGAAGATAGTGAAGAAAAACGCAATGGCTTGGAGACCCTCTAAGAGTACCCAACAATTGATGGAATGGGGGTGCTAAAGGAAGTTACTTAGAAAGAGATGAGATGATCAAAGACTGGGTGCTTGGCATAAGCATTTTGGTGACAGTGCAGTTATTAGTAATAACGTGACCACAGTGACAGACGAAGGACAAGATTTGCAGAGTGAGCAGGTCATGGAATTGAGTGTTCAGGTTGATGGATGGCACGTGAATAGTAGTAGGAACAAACAACTGACTAGGTGCTAACTTATTCCACCATGTTACATGAACTTCCAAGGAGGGTATTAGGAAAAAGGGAGGATCAGAGATCTGGAGCAGCAACAACGAGCAAAGCGGAAACTACTTTTCCTTCAGACTAAAGATATTCAGGTGTGGGAAGGAAAAAATCTAAATTTGGGAGGGCTAAGAAGGAGAATGGCATCTTTAGCTGTGACCATGTTTCAGAGATTTAGGGGAGGATGATGACGGCTTAAGATCTATCAGGTGGAAGGGAAAGACTGAGGAAGGGCAAGGGAAGCAACTTGAAGTAAATGAGGAAATGTCCTAAGCAGTGTGGGGGTGCTTACAGAGGTGGAGGTGAATGAAATGGATGTTGGTTATTGATATAAGTAATCAGGAGGAGACCATCGTGGTACAACATTGGGGATTATTTTGGTGGGGGCATAAACGATTCTAATGACTTATGAGATGACAGTGATATGTCTATTGAGAGGAAAGTGCTGGATAGAGTTGGTGTTTTCACACAAACAAGTAGTACCCTGAGGACCTCCCTCAGAGTCAAGGGGCAATTTTTTAAGATTTATTTATGTATATAAGAACGGGGTACAGGCCAGAGGTGTGTGTGGGGGATGAGAGGATTCACCAGAGAGAGTGGGGAACAGAACATGCAGACTGATGAAATACACTGCTGAGGGGAGCAGCGGGCAAGACAGGAGAGGTCTGCTGCACCATATGGGTAGCTCCCTGGCAGGGGAATCTAACTCATGCTACAGAGGCTGTGGATAGCTTCATAGGTTGTGTCTTAACCCCTTGCACCACCAGGGATGCCCCAAGGGGCAATTTTGTTCAACACAACTTAACTCTCATTCAAACAATTCAGTTTTCTCCTGCTACCTGTACTCTCTACTTAAGAAAGGTAATCCTCCTCTTCTGGCTGGTCTTACCTGGCCTTGGCCTTCAAAGGCCAGAGGGTAGCAGTTATACATGGTCCATAAGGAAAAAGTGTCCTGCAGCCACAATGGCTTGGTAAAAAAACACGTTTTCCATCAACTAAACTTCTACTCAGAGATCTACAGTAGGTTCATTACGTTTTGGATGTCTGGGGAACTGTTAGTTTTCTGTTACTTGCCACAAAATATCCTTAAGTTGGCCAGTTCTATCTTTCTATTAGAAGAGGATAAAAAGAATATGGACCAGGCCTTTGGGAGCCAAGAGCACTCCAACTCTCTTTTCCTGTGGTTGGTAAGTTCAAAAAAGGCAAAATGTGTCCAGCTCTGGTGCATTCTTTGAATAAAAGAGTAGAGGACCCTTAGGCCCTAAGCATGTTTTCTGGTCTCATAATGTGTGGATATAATGTACAGTGTCCCCTCGAAAGCACAGACTTGATAGGTCATTTCTGTTTCATTGAAAACTTTCCTCAGGGTCGTCACTGAAAGCATCTTTCCATATGCTGTTCCAGGCTATCACCCTGGTAAGTTCTGACTTATCCTTCAGGACACCCCTTACAGTCAGGCACAAAGCTGTGCAGTACCTTTCCCAGCCTTATCTTTGTGAACCCTTCATTACTTTCATAACATATCATCATATGTGGCAATTATAACAGCTATCCCAGGGCACATAGCCTAGGCCAGCCTGGCATGTGTAGATGTTCAATAAATATTCACTAATACAATGTTTATGTGAGTTTAAACATTTCATGGATCCATAGCCTGAGACATTACATTGTATTTTGCCAGATACCTTTGACATGCAACCTTTTCTTCAGTGTCCATGTGGGTAGGGCTGATGCACTGATGTTATGGGCAATTCTTTAAACATTATTCTCAGATAATGGATGCAATTTTATCATCTCAGTTTAGTAAGGATGCTTTGGGTTGTCCCTTCCTTGCTATCAGTCTCTGGCAGATTATCTGGGCAGAGATAAAACTAGAGTCCCCAGGACAGGGAAATAATTATACCTTCTACTAGAGATCATGCTGCTTTTTCAATGCTGGTGAAATTTCTAAGGCCAGAAACCCATTACATTTTCTGGAAGCTGGAACACCCTTTACTAGAAGCAATTTGAGGGCTGACAGCTACCATTTACTGTGTACTTACTAGATGCCAGATACTGTGATAATGACTTCATTTGTCTTTTTTCCCTTCTCAAAAAAAAAAAAAAAATCTAATGAGGAACAAGGATATTATCTTATTTTACAAACAAACAAACAAACCAAATTAAAGTTTATAAACATTTTGTGACTTTTTTTGAATTCATACAACTACATAAAGTGGCAGAGCTGAGATGATCATCCAGATTTCTGATTCTAAACGCTCATGCATATTCTTTCTATGATGTACCCCTAAGCAAGTATAATTTACAATGTAGGAACACTTGGTTTGTGTCTGCCATGATGTTCTTTAATACTTTCTTCACTTTCCAAGGTGAGAGAATTATATCAGTGATCTAAACTATCCTAACTGGGTATAACATAGTTTTTTACAGATCTCAGATTGTGAATAATAAAATTATATAGGAATGATATTATTCAAATACTATTTAGGGTTGTTAGCCTATTCATAATGAAATTACATGTAAAATCTATACTTCAAGTTGGCCTGATTTCATAAGTAATTCTATTTTAAATCTTAATTAAAGAATACAAAGGTATGTACTTTGACTAGTGAAACCAATATTTGAAAGCAATTTTTTTTCTTGTGTGCTCATAATTTGTGGAAAAGTCTAAAATAGACTTCAAGTTGGGACTATAAAAGGTAACTACCTTGCTTTGAGAACCTGCAAAACTTCATAGGGGAGATGGCATTAGATTTAGTACTCAGAAAAGAGGGTTGGAGTGTGCCAGAAGTCAGGCAGTCAAAATGAACACAGCAATAGAAGGAGGACAGTTCCAGAGGCATGGCAGGGATGGCGAGGGCGGGAAGTGGTAAGATAGGAGAGTAAAACTATAGGTCAGCATCTCACATCTGTAGGCCACACATTATTGTGTGCGCAAGTGAGAGTTCTATGGTATTAGCAAGACCAATATACAGTGAGGTGGATGTCTTAAAAAGGGCAGCCTGCAAAAGGTGAAAGGAGAGATAACTGGAGTAAAAGGGGCTAGGTAAGACTTTCGTCAAAAGATGAAGTGATACTGATCAAAAGGAGCAGATTAAAATGGTGAGGGTTGGAAAAGTGGACAGTAGTTGTTGGGTGAATTTAATAGTGAAGATAGCAAAGCAGAGTATTCACATGCATGTCTTCCCATGTACTAGGTGCTGGACTCATCTTGAACACAAGTTATCTCATTGAAACCAAATAAGTCAACGGGCGTAGTAGCTTTATTAACCTCATTCTACAGATGAAAAAAATGACATATGGAAGGATCAGAAACTGCTACTAAATGGTCAAAAATTTGTACACAGGCAGTTTGGTGGCCTTTTCTTTTAATCATACAGCTGCTTGAATCAGTCTAAAGTTTTCACTAAGATACCAGCTGGAAAGTGAATTAAAGGCATATGGAGAGAAATTTTGAGTTCAATTTTGCACAATTTGAATTTCCTAAAAGATATCCAGGGAGAAATGTCTGGTTGAAAAGGAATGAGAGAGAAAAGGGAACTAATGATAAAGATACTATTACTATATAGATGGTTGGTTGATACCAAAGGACCACGTTTGCTTTTTCAGTGGAAAGATATAACACAAAACAGCACAGTTACAAAAATTAATGCTGTAAAAGACTACTAAGTACTCCCCTTAAAAATAAACACACATGAACATAAATCTTCAAACAATAAAACTCCCATCAACTTAAGTAATCTTTATTTCTGATTAAATCTTTTGTGACTTCTTGTTCTAGTGTGAGATTTATTTACCCAGCTTCTCAAAATCCTTGCCTCCTTGAAGTGTGAAGAGTTGTTCTTCCAAAACTATTTCCAGAGAACTCGGGGTTTCTCTGGAAAGCTACCAGTACAGACATTCACAAATCAGTCATAATTGGAAGTTCAGACATTCACATTTTAAAAGATGGCTAATGAAACACTAATGAAAATTTTACAAGTTAAATAGTTTGTCTTCCAAACGTGTCTCCTACTTCTCTTTATCATCTTCCTCTGCTGCACACCACCTCTGCCCACCCTTGTGCAGATGACAACAAATGACAACAGAACAATTAGCCTGAGTGAGAGAAAAATATTACATGCCACATAGTTCTTACTGAAAGAGACACAGTAAAGACTGTTTCACTGTTGATGTCCCTAAGAGTAATTGATGGGGCAGGGAAGAGGACTGAGGGGGAGCCAGCTGTTCAAGTGGACACTGTTTACAAGCATTATTTCCCAACTTCCAACCAGCAGGAAGAGCTTCTCTAATAACTACTGAGCAGTTAAAGATACTCAATTTAGAAGAGCAGAAAATTCAAGGAATACCTGTTTCTATTTTTTTCTTTAACGTTAACATTTAGAGCTTCTTTCATAAGAGAAATTTATCCACGGAACTGGCAAGGCATACAAGGGGACTTGAGAAAGGGACTTTTTTACAAAGTCCCAAATTTCCATGTCAAGTCAACTCACAAAGAAAACTGAGCCATGTTAGGAAAAGTATGTAAAGAGCAGTTCAAAGGCTCCTGGTGGTTCTACTGTATTTTATAAAATTATTTACATTTCTCTTTTTGGTCATGATAAGGTCTATTGGCACAAACAGCAACAGCCACAAAGTATTCTTTTGATTTTAATATCTCATCTTATATATATTTATATATATTTATATATCTGCTTATCTTCATTTCCTCAACAAAAGGGGAAATAAAAATATTGATCTATAAAATAAGCTGATGATAACACAATGCCAAAAATAGCTTATGTTAAGTGCAAGGGGTGAAGCTTGAAAGCAAGCTAAATTGCAACAATGTATCAATTTAACATTTTAAATACAAGACTTGCAATAAAATAATTCTTGAGCTATGCTTCTCCTTTTAGTTTACCTTTTAAAGCTACTCTATATACACATATCCAGTTGTAACACTTGACAGTAGCATTATGGGGTATGATATAACTTTGGTACACATTGCAGATATGGATGGGTAATGCCAGAAAATGATACTCTTTCACCAGTTAGAGCTCAGTACAGCAGGGGACCAGCCACCTGATCCCACATAATATTCCCATCAGGACCCCAGAGTCCTTCCCAGATCTATTGGAGACAACGGGAGAATGGAGGTTCATTGGATCCATATTGTGTTTCCTCGCTCGGTTCTCCTGGGTTCCACCGTCAGCTCCCCGAATGTGGAAAAAAACTGCTCCATTTCTTTCTGAAGCATGTCATTCCTTTTCTCTGCATCTTCTTTTGCTCGCTCGGCATTTCGCATTTTGATTTCTATCATTGTGAACTTTTTCCTTTCTTGATCCAGTTCATCATGGAGGGTCATCATTTCTGTTTCCAAAGTCAAGTTTCTCTGTTCTAAGCTACAAAGGGTGGGGGAAAGCAGAAGAAATAATATTATTTTTTTCACTTGAAATGTAAGAGGAGTACAAATATTTTCTAAATTCTATCTCTGAAATACTTATGAAATGGGAACCAGTCTTTTTAAATAAGCAAAGCAAGGCTCAATGATTTAAAAGGTGTTATTTTGTTGATTTTTTTTTTCACTTTTTGCTCAGACACCTTACTATTATTATAACAAGAATAGCCCTAGGTGTCTCTTAGAAGCACTTAGTTGTCACTGGATAATGAGTGAATGGACATCAGGACAGAGAAGCCAGAGATAATGCCGCATAGCACACAGTGTCAGGAGCAGGACTTCCCGGAATGATTAAGTGTAAAGTTGACTTTACGTGGGGGAAAGTCTGAAAAAGTTGAAAGGAAACCAGGGTAACCATATTTGATTTCTATCAAAAGAAAAATAATGTAGTGAAAATATCATTATTAGATCAACTCCATTGCTGAGAAAGGACTCCCTGGAGACCTAGAATGTTCCATCTTTTGAGAGTAGCCACTTCCATTGACAGAAAAGGTAGATATTACATGTATTGAATAAATAATCCAACTGGCATTTTGTGACAATGGACAAGTAGCTTGACATCTGCAGTTATCACTGCTATGAATCTTAGAATCTTTAGATTCATACTTGTATAGACTGATACCAGATTTGGATAATTGTACAATTTCAGGCAACTTCCTTTAAAATAGTTTTCTTTATGATGACTAAGTTTTGAAATCAATAATTTATTCAGTTATAATCACAAATCTATAATTTGTTGTTCAAAAAGGAGTATGAAGCACTAGGTTTGTCATAAGATCCACCTTTGTAACAGCTGACTTTTAAATTTATCCTATTCTGAGCTAGTCCCTAAAGCATGTTTAAATTTATCACACCACTGAAATTTGAAAAAAAAATGAGTGTGTATCTCTTAGAAATCTGATTATTTTAATAACAATTTTGAAATTAAAGTCTTTTGTTTTTCTGTTTTGAAATAAGTGAATCCCATGTGCTGTTACTTCATCCAGATAATGGTAACAATACCTATAAATGTTCTCCTTTTGTTAGCAATTACTATTTAAAACATTCACGTTCCATTGTAGGAGACCCCTAAGGCGTGAGGTGCTGAGACAGAGAGAATGTGGGGTGACTGGTTAACATGGGCTGGAAGACTGGCCCATGCCCAGACCACGATGTCGTCTCTTGTGTTAGCAAAGCTAACCCTGCGAAACAGGCAAGATTAGAAAGGGAATAGAATATATTCGATAATGCAGAAACTTGGTGGTGAATGTGTGCCTGGACAAGGTTAAATACTAAGAGAATGATTCATTGTCTAGTAACTAACAAGGGGGGGGGGTTGATCAATAAAAATGAGTTGCACCAGGCAGTCGGGATGCTTGAGCTTGGAATGAGAGGCATTGTGTCCCCTGGGTCCCGCTTCTCTTAAACTCTACTTTGTGTCTGTCAATTCTTTATTTCCAAGTTCTTTCGGTTCCTCTCCTCAACCCTGTTCACTGGGGCTGGTCTCCAGCATTCCATACTCCCTTTAAAAGTCTATTTTGATTAGAGGATCACATTTTTAATGGAATGACCTGGTAGTATGCTGCTTGCCACTCAGAATAACTATATGATACATCCCTTTTCTTTGCTCAAGTTATTTATTTTAGAACAAATTCAAGCTTAAATACCAAGAAAGACAATCCCTTTCAAAAAATATGCCCCACTTGCACATATCAGGCACTTCTATTAAACTTCCCGGGATCTAACAGACTAAGGTGAATATAGAAGTAATCCCCTATCACTGTAAACATAGAGTAATGGTGGAGAACAGTCTAAGAAAAGTATTTTTAAAACACATATTCCAGGTAAAATAAAGTATTTTTAGGTATCAGAACCTAGAAAAAAAAAAAAAAAAACCCTTAAATTTAGAACTAAGTGCTCCACTTGGTATATTACGCTTCCACTTGGTATATTCCATGTTGCATATTACACAAAGCATAAGGAAAGAAAAAGCGGAAAATGATTGGACAGAGAGAATGGAAAATCAATGGTCTTTATGAAAATGGACAAAAGAAAGTGTGATTCATGGGTTTGGGGAGGTGACTAAATTAAATCAGCCAAAGAAAGAATTAGTAAACTGGAAAACAAGTATGAAAAAAATTCCCCAGGATGTCTCACAGTTTGAAAAAGATGGAAATTTAACATACAGAAGAGAAACTTACAGAGATGAAGAATGGATTAAGAAGTTTCAACATACCTTACTAAGGATTGTAGAAGGAGAAAACTGGGAAAATGCATGGGATGAGTAAGCCAAAAAGTGACGGATAAAAATATTCCAGATTTAAATAAGTCCTCAGATCAAATAATGAAATATGAACTTTGAAAGTTAAAAAATGAAAAAATATATAGAGCAGGAAATTACTAATCAAAATAAATGTGATATATTAAGAAAAAAATTACTTAGCAAAAACTTATTACAATCAAAGAAAATCACAGCATAGTGATAAAACATTAATTAATCAGGGGGATACAAATTATTCTGAACCTTTATTCACCTATTAGTATAGTCTCCCATTATTTAATGTAAAATGTAACATAATTCTAAGGAAAAATTTGATAAATTTCCTACAATACTAGGAAATTTTAAGCTATCTTTCTCAGATATTACAGATATATCTAATAAAAATTAAGAGAAATATAAAAGATTTGAACAGTAGATTTGATTTGATTAGTAGACCAGATCTACTACCAAAAGAATCATACTACCAAAAGAATCTCAAACAAATAATAAAAATGTAAGTTTTACTAGACCAAAAAATAGACATTATAGAAATGAATTTCTCTTGCTACAATTATAGTGAATATAGAAACTATTAAAGGGGTAAAAGAACACAAAATTCAATGTTTTAAAAGTAAAAAAAAATCAGTGACTGATAATTAGACAAATTAAAACACCTATCATCTGTCTATTAACATCTGTCTATCTATCTATCTATCTATCTATCTATCTATCTATCTATCTATCTATCTATCTATCTTATCATTATCTAAATTTGATGCTTGCAGAATGGAGTTAAAGCAGAATCAAGAGGTGGGGCTTCCCCAGTGGCACAGCGGGTTGAATGCAGCACTGTGAAGCTGTCCGCAGCCTCTGCAGCACGGGTTCTATTCCCAGCCGGCCAGCGAAATACCCACATGGCGCAGCAGACCTCTCCTGTCAAGCCTGCTGCTCCCCTCAGCAGTGTTTTCAGTCGTCTGCCTATTCTGCTCCCCGCTCTGTCTCTGGTGAATCCTCTCACCACCTACACTGCTGGACTGTACCCCAGCTCTTGTATAAATAAATAAATATATTTTTTTAAAAAAATCAAAAGGAGAATGTATAACTTTAAATAGTAATAATCAAAAATATCTAGCACTGCTATCTGTGGTATTTCTGAAGCTTGAGTATGTGCTCTACTTTATTGTAACTTCTCCCTTTGCCTTTCAGGTAGATAAGAATGCTACAATGGAAAGCCCAGTGAGACGACACTGTTGGAAAGTTCTATTACTTTATCAAAGTCTCTGGTATGTAGTATAAATCTCAGAACATAAATGTATCACCTATTCAAAAATGACTATGTTCTTCTACAGCTATTCAGAATGGCAACTTATTTCCTATTTTTTTTAAAGATTTTTTTATTTTATTTATACAATAGCTGGGGTATAGGCCAGAGGCATGGGAGGGTGAGGGGATTCACCAGAGACAGAACAGGGAGCAGAACAGGCAGACAGACTGAAAGCTCTGCTGAGGGGAGCAGCGGGCGTGATAGGAGAGGTCTGCCTCGCCATGTGGGAATCTCCCTGGCCAGCTGAGAATCCAACCCACGCTGCAGAGGCTGCGGACAGCTCCACAGCACTAAGCTCAACCTGCTGCGCCACAGGGGAGGCCCTTATTTCCTGTACTAATTAATATTTTTGAAGTGTTATCTCTTGCTAAGTGCTAATTCATCACCAGTAATTAAGAGTTTCAGTAGCCAGTTCTCCAAAAACTATATTCAAAAAGAAGAATAACCTTATAAGGTGATGACACCATTTCTTTCTTATTTAAAGCCCCTGTCACTCAGTATTATGTAAAAAAGTCCAAGCCAAGTTTCCATTCAGTGAAATTTTCTTTTCAAAGAAAGCATTTTTTCAGTCTAACCTATAAGTAGTAATTTTTTAAATATTTACTTCACCCTAGCTTTAGAAAATAATGTGTCTTTTGGTCTTATAATTTGATAAATGAATGGTAAGATAAAGTCAACTTTGTCTATAAAATAGAAACTGTGCAGAGTCACGTCATGGAAGCAGTTGGATGAGGACAGAAGCTGACAGAACCAACCATGAGGTCCCTGGGAGTCAACATAAGGAGAGATCCACCAAGGAGTCTGATCAGGACCTGGCTCACTAGAGGGCTCCTGAGTGCAGGGCTTTCTCTTTTCTGCCCTCTCCCAACACTATTCTAGATGAACATAAAAGCAATCAACTTTGCAACTTCTGTGACCATGGTGAAAACAGGCATGGCAACTTTCAGCTCCCAGCACAAATGGCGAGTCCTGTGCTCCATTGTCTGTATTTCTGTGTCCATGGACATCTGACAGTCAGGGCATGTGAACATGTGACATTCAGCCAGCACCCCTGCCCTCACTTGGGCTGCTTCCTTGGAGAAGTTGCTAAGCAAACTTCTTGGTTATCTTATGAAAAGATGTGAACTGATATCAGTTAGGTTTTAGCATAACTGTAACATTATAAATTATATTTTTTATTCCCTTTTTTTAAAGATTTATTTATTTTTATTTATTTATACAAGAACCGGGGTATAGGCCAGATGCACGGGAAGGTGATAGGATTCACCAGAGACAGAGCGGGGAACAGAACAGGCAGACTGACGAAAATACACTGCTGAGGGGAGCAGTGGGCGCGACAGGAGAGGTCTGCCGTGCCATGTGAGATTCTCGCCGGCGGGGATCAAACCACCACTGCAGAGGCTGAGGACAGCTTCTTAGCATGGCACTCAACCCCCTGTGCCACCAGGGGAGGCCCTTAATTCCCTATTTAAGCTTCCATTTCTCTTGCTCTAGGAATATGTCATGGCATGGCATTTTCAAAAACCTGCAAGAATTCCAATCTTAGAGTAAAAACCTTTCTGCTCCTCTCCCATCTCATCTCGAGGTGTCCCATGTGCTCCTCTCCAAAGATGCACACAGCATACTCTTTAGACTCCGGTAAGGCTCAAACTTGAGATTGCCCCTCATAAACACATCCCTTTCCCTGCTTCACTCTCCACTTGGCATAGGATATATTTTACTTATGTCTCTGTCTCTTCCAGTGGAATGGAAGCATGTGCCAATCTCGACTTTCTCTTTTATTCACTTGAATCCTCAGGGCCTGGAACTGAGTCTGGCAGATAACAGATACTCTGTCAGCATTCCACAGTGAAAGAGTGAAATTAAAGATCTATTTTCTTTCACTGACAGGAAGAAGATAAAATAAGAAAGAGAAAAGTAGAAGAGACTTCTATTTTTTTCGTCCTCTTCCTGTCAGTGAAAACAAACTCTTTATTCTCCATTCACTCTTTACATCTCTCCTCCAACCCTCTAACATTAACCTACAAACTCTAATATCAAAAGCACAGCATTATGGAGCACCTATTCTGTGCCAGGACCATGTTCAATGATTTCTTACATGTTTTTGAAGTACATAATATTAGTATGTAAATTTTCCACATTAGAAAACCCAGTTCACAGACATGAAGTGAACTTTCCCGAAGTCCTGCAGTTCATGAATGATGAAATGAGGACTTGAACTCAGGACCTGACTCTGGAGCCAGCATATCTAACCTTCCATGTGAGAGTTAACCCAGTAGCAAGCTGCTGTACCCACTATGGTAGGGATGCAATCATACTTCCTCACCTCTTTATCCTGGACTCATACTCTATCTTCTGTTTGGTCATTTCCTGTTTCAGGCTGGAAACTAAGCTGTGCAGGGCACTGTGGTTGCCGGTGTTGTTACCAACAAATGTCTCACTGTTGTCGCTGCTGCTGGTGGCACGACTACTTCGACCTCCTACACTCCTCCGGTCACTTTTATTTTCATAGTCCCCAGGGTGGGAAAGGTCTTCCTGAGGGGGCCCATCCAAAACAGGGTCCTCAAAATTCCCCCCATAAAAGTCTTGTTCTGGGCAGGTGGTGGTGGAGGAGCGGCAGGAGTTGGAGTTCTCAGGGAGGGAGATTTCACAGGAGGAGGTGGACCAGGTGGCGCTGTCCACACTCTGCTTGTCATCAAGGTTCATCATGGAGAACTGTTGATGGACGTTGTCATAGGTGGAGAGCCTGTTGTGCTGACCTGACTCTCCCACCTGCTCTTTCTGCTTGTTGTCCCTCAGGGTCACATAGCCGTTGGGCAGCCAGCTCATGCTGCGACCATTCACGGGGTTCCCAAGGGTGTCACTATTCAAAATGCCCATGCGCACTGTTCCATTCTGTACACTGTGGGTTCCCATTTTCGTACCAGACCCCTTCAGCGAAGAGGTTCTTCTGGCTTGTAAGCTCCCATTGGGAGTGGTTTGGGTTTTCTCAAGACCTTCTGCATTACTGCTGCTGAAAGAGCCATTGGTGACTATCCCACTTCCCTTATTGAAGGCCGGATTCTTTTTGACCATGAGAGGGGGGCTCCGAGAGACATCCAGTTTGTTAATGCTGTTCCTTGGGCTATTTGCTTTGCCACCTGATAGAGCTGTGGGGGATCCATTATCCATGCTGCTTCTCTGGGGAGATTCGGACTTGTCCCAAGAGCACTGCCGACCAGGGCTGTCCTTGGCATTATTGTTCTCCTTGTTCTGTAGCTGACCCATGGTGGCTTTCTTCTGAATTTCATTGTTGTTGTTGCTTGTTCCATCTTGTGGCTTGCCTTGCACATCTGTATCTTTGGGGAAGAGGTGATCATGTTTGCTAATCATCATTGACATCAGCTGCTGGACCACGACAGTGCCTGGAATTCCACAGAAAACAAAATAGTGAATCAGTTTTGATTTATTTTTCAATTTAAATGTCAGTTTTGAGGATTCAGTCATTCATTCAGTAGTAGTATTACTAGCATTGTCAAACTATATTTTTAATGATGATAATAACAAGAGAGGCAAACACTTCTTGAGCAATTACTTTATACTATGAACTATAAAAGTGATTTATTACTGCTAATTTAGTTGGGTTTTAAAATAAATCTGTGAAAAGTACTATTAGTAACACTACATTATAAAGGTAACTTGATGAAGGTCACAAATTTATGTCCAATTATTAGCTGACGACTAAGCAAACCATGCATAGAATTCAGTGATCACACAGAGCAAAGAATATGGACTTCAAAGTCACTAAACAATGAAACAAGAAACCTTGGGGAAGAGGAGAACCTGGTCCAGAGTTCCCACATTATTATATTTTTTTTAAATGTTTAATTTTCAACAAAAATTATTAGCCATTCAAAGATTAAAAAGTATAGCCCATATACAGGAAAATACAGAATCTAAGGAGGTGTTCATATTATACTCCTTGGATAAAGACTTTAAATCAACTATCATAAGTATATTTTAATAACTCTAGGACATCATATCTTAAAAAAAGGAAAATGAAAACAATGACTCACCAAATAGACACTATCAATAAAGAGTATAAAAATAACTAAGTATATATCTGGAGTTGAAAACTACAATCATTGAAATGAAAATAAAATTAATAGAGGGGATCAACAACGGATTTGAGCAGGCAGGAAAAAACTGAGCATACATGAAGATAAACCAGTTGAGGTTGTCCAATATGAGGACTACGGAGTGAAGGGAATGAAGAAAAATGAACAGAGGTGCAGGGACCATCAAGCACAGTAGCATATGCATAAAAGTAGTCCCCCAAACAGACTGGAAATAGAAATAAACAAAACCAGTAATTAAACAAATATTTCAAGTGTCCAATTTGATGAAAAACATGAATTTACACATTCAATAAGTTCAGCAAATTCCAAGCAAGTTAAATGCAAAAAGGATTCACCTAGTTTCATCATGGTTTATCTTAAACCAAAGACAGAGAACTTTGAAAACAGCAAGAGGGAAGCAGCACAGGAAAAAGGGATCCTCAATATCATGAACAATTGATTTCTCATCAGAGGCCATGGAAGCTATGGGATAAAATCTTCAAAATGTTGCAAGACTATCCAATAAGAATTCCAACAAACCCAAGCTACAATGGTGAAGGAGAAATAAAAACACTACCTGATAAAGAAACACTAAGGAAATTCATTGCTAGTAATCCACACTACAAGAAATACCAAGGCTTGAGGACATTTTAAATAAAGGAATTTTTACAAAAGAAAACAATTTTCTAACACAGATGAAAATACTATGGTTCTCATTTGATTCGCTTATTTTTACTGTACACTGTAAAGTAGGAAGCAAAAATAAATACCTTAGAAGTTTCAGTAAGTAAAAATAACTCAGAGGACAAAAAAATTGACCTATTATTAAATGAGTAATTTATTTTTAAAAACTCAATGGATTTATCAGGTTTTGTGGTATAATAGTTGAAATTTCAAAATATATACACACATATCCCTTACTGACTGACAAGCTGAGTTTTCACCCTTAAAAAGCAACTGCCATCATTGAACAGGCTTCTCAATTAGTTTTAGAAATTGGGACTCCCTGATTCCTTTAAGATTTTCTTAATATTATTTTTATTCTTAGGTATTAATTATATTCATGTACCCATAATATGGTGAATATAAATATCAATCATTTTTGCTTTAACTTGAACTATTGGGTTGTTAGAAAAGTCATGATGCATTTATCAATGAGAAGAAAATTATGCATAGATATAAATATGTAAATATGTAAATCCATTAATTTGTAAGGGTTGGGGGGACATAGGGAGATGAGAACTAAATAGCATCTATTTGGGAAAGTTTTGTTGAGCTGGAGGAAGAAAAGAACTGAGGACATTTTATATGCATTGAATGAGAGAGAGAATAATAGATCCCATAAACATATCTTCTTATGCAATAATAGTACTGTCAGATTGGTGTTTCCTTTAAGAACAAAAAAACTTTTAACTTGCTTTTAATTATTCTGGATGCAAGAATGCTATTTTGTTATTTTTTGAATTATTATGGTATTATTAAATGTTCTTTTAAAAAATTAATCCATTAATTAATTGATGGCTTAATTTGTAATTGAGGTAATGTTAGGCTAGCACTATAGTGCACTCACCACCAAATCACCCATAGTCTACTACCATAGTCCATTGTGATTCTTTCTTTCTTTTTTTTAAAAAGAGTTATTTATTTATGCATACAAGAACTGGGGTACAGGCAAGGGTGTGAAGGGTAAGAGGATTTACCAGAGACAGAGTGGGGAACAGAACAGGCAGACTGACTGAAATACACTGCTGAGGAGAACAGTGGGCAAGACAGGAGAGGTGTGCTGCACCATGTGGGTTGCTCCCTGGCCAGCGAGAATCGAACTCGTGATGCAGTGGCTGCTGATAGCTTCATAGTGCTTTGCTTTACTCCGTGCACCACCAGGGAGGCTCCCATTGTGATCATTTCTCCCTGTGTTCTTATTTATTCCTTTCCCAAACTCCCCCTCCCTTCCTAGCCTGCCTCAGTGCTTCAGTTCCATAGTCAGCTTTCAAGGGTTAGTACTTAAGCTTGTCTTTGTATGACCCTTAGTTTGGTTTCTCTATATTCCATATATTAGTGACACCATATGGTATTTTCTTTAAATACTGACTCTTGCTCAGATGGGGCCACGAAGTAGTTGAGTAACATATGGTTTATGCAATATGTGAAGTCTACAGAAGGTTTAGTTACTAGAAACCATCTCTTCAGGAGGTTGATCAACTCTGGGATCAGTGAAATATCCGAAACCCCCTTGGAGTTGAGACCTCTCATGACCCCAACAAATTAAGACAATAGGTGAAATTATTTTGCTCTTCCATTTTTTTCTTGATGCTTCTAAAAATCCCATTTGTTTCCTTGTATGCCTATCCCTGGACAAATTACCACTGTTTTTTAGGGAAAATTTCTTTTTTAATTGGGTATAAGTTTTCTCATCAATGAAAAGAAGCCATGAATCCTATTAAAATGGGATTTTTCAGAGCCCCAGGAAACTCCCAGAACTCAGGATTCTGCTTCTTCCCAGAGAAATTTTGCTTTCTTCTATTGACCATATAGGGAGAGGCCTATGTAATCTGTAAAATATTCTTCTAAAACAACATATTTTAACAAGGGTTAAAATAAAGAGACAAAAAACCTAAACCAGTGGCTTCCAGGAAGATTGTGGCAACATAAAACTCATTTCTGCAAATCCCTGTATAGAATCAAAGTAATTAGACACAAAGTCCAAAATTCATGGACAACATTTGCAACAAAACTAGGTGGCAAGTTGTCCTCCAAAACTCTAAAATACAAGTTGGGGAGATGAATCTCTACTGCCCCCCAAATACTGCACAATGGTATTGTCTGTATTTCAGGAAAGAATGGGGGTTCTCGTGGGCCTAAAAGTAGAAATTCCTAAAGGACCATATAAGCATTCACTGGAAAATGCATAGAGCTACTCGCCAAGTGAAAGTGGGAAGGATTGTGCCTAGTCCAATCTTAACCCAATTGTGATCCAGGAGGTATGTGGTGGCCTAAAGGATATAGAGTCTTCTAGTCCCTTGGATTCTCAACAATGATCAGTCACAGCTCCCTTCCAGACAGGGCTCCACAAGAATGAGGAAACAATTTGGAATGCAAAGTATTCAAGGAACTAAGATACTAGAGATGAAAGAAAGGGAAGGTGGGGATATAGCCAGCACATCTTTAGTAAGAAAGTTGCTATATTGGTTGAGCTGTATGTGAAGAAAACAGAAGATTGAGTTCTGTGGAGTGAGAGAAGCTAACCTGAGTGTTCACAGAATCTTCCACAGGTGCACGCCTTATGAAAACATGCCACTGGAAAATTCACTCAGTTACGATGATCTTCCAAAGGGTAACACATTTAATTCCACAGTATCAAAAGCTCATTTGTAATATGAACAGTAATTTCACCAGAAATGTGTTTAAATAATAGGAAGCTGTCAAGTTCAAGGTGTTAAATACAAATTCTTTACTTGAAAGCTCAAATTTCATCAATTGCAACAAATTCTGCCAGTTGTTTCCCTTAAAGTGAAAGGTTAGCTTAGTGTATTTTTGAAAACATGTCTGCTAAGGGTTCAAGTCTAAACAAATAATAATTTGTCAGTTGTTCTTTCAAGTGAAAAATGGAATTCCATGAAAAGGTAATTAATACAGCTCTCAACTCACATAATCACATACATGCTTTTCCTTGAGCTGACCACGTATTATTTTTTAAAATACTATGTAGAACTGTGTTATGCATAGAGCTCATTGTTTTACCAGAATATCAAGAAGATGCATTCTCAAGAGCAGGGACTTAGTATAGTTAATATTTTTTATTGTTCAGCGGGAACATTCTTACGTAAAGTTGACACTTTCACCACTATTGCCAGTGCAAGGCAGTGAAGAATACAAGGATGTCATTGGAATTTGGCACCATTGCCTTCATTACACTAAGATGTAAATCATTGCAAGTGTCAACACAATGAAACAGCAAAAACCAAAATATGTGTGAATTCTTGGACCTTCTGAATGCATCTCTGGTGACTCTAGGTATCACAGGCCACATTTTGAGGACTTCTAGGCTAGAGAGACAATGTAAGAACTGGTGGTGAGCACTAGATGCATAGTTATATATACACTAAGCCTAAATGAGGATAATGGATGTACTGTCATTATATATATATATACACACACACACACATGCATACATACATATATATTTAACAAATTAAAAAAAAAAACAAAAGAATTAGAAGAGCATATGTAAACAGTTTTTAAATGTTTGCTATAAACATACTGTTGCTGGGTCCTCCCTGGTGGTGCAAGGGGTTAAGTACCACACTACGAAGCAATCCGCAGCCTTTGCAGCACAAGTTTGATCCCCAGCCGGCCAGGGAGAAACCCACATGGCGAGGCAAACCTCTCCTGTCTCACCCACGCTTCCCCTCAGCAGTGTATTTCATTTCAGTCATTCTGCCTGTTCTGTTTCCCACTCTGTCTCTGGTGAATCCTCTCACCCACTGCATCTCTGGCCTGTACCCCAGCTCTTGTATGCATAAATAAATAAATCTTTAAAAAAAATACTGTTGCCGGTAGTACTATTAATGTTATTTTGAGACTGTTGTTATGTTTAAATAGAGATAGAGCAAAGGATTAATTATAGGGTATTCTGATTCTGTTATCTTTAATAACTTTGAGAACCAGGAATCTTATTTGGAAAAATGGAGATAAAACCATAACATGGAAAAAAATAAATAAAAATCCTATAGTCATGATTTTGATTTGGAATTACAATGTGAACTTGTGAAGAATTTTTCTTTAATCTTTAAGTATGTCTGTAAGATGTGGTATGTATAATATGTGTGTCTGCACATATGCATTTTTATCTACTAGCTCTCCCTACTGAAAGGCCTAGAAACATATTTTACCAAAAAAATTTGGAAAAAAATTATAGGAATATAATATCAGTATTTAAATATCTAATGAATTAATAATTTTAAGAATTGCATTAAGATCACAAAAATAGAGATGCTCAGACATGCCAATGAAAGAATACAATACAATATATAGCAAAACCAAAACAAAAAGCACCAAACACACACATACACACAAGAATTTGTTCACATTCTTTATCTTCATCCTATTTGTTGAAAACAAGGCAGAAAAATGTGTTAAACTATACCATGAATATGCCATGAACAATATGCATATTATAGGAAACTACATAGGTAAAAAAAATCCTAAATTTTGACATAAAGTTGTAGGGAATCCTATATATTTAAATAAATTTAAAAAGATATCAAATAAAGGAATAGCAGAGATTAAAGTGAGGGAAGTAGATGAAGATAGTGGTCAAAGTATGCAAACTTTCATATATAAGAAAATAAGTATGGAGTTGTACAGTAAACTTGATGACTATAGTTAACACTGCTCTATAGCATATTTGAAATTTGCCAGCAGTAGAACCTAGAAGATCTTGTCATGAGGAAAATACATTTTTTCTGGTATTTTTATATTAATATAAGAAATGCTAACAAATTATGGAAATCATTTCAGAATATATGTTAGTCAATGTATTGTACTGTACATGTTAAATTTATGCAGATGTGTCAATTATAGCACAATAGAACTGAAAAAGGAATATTAAATATAATGCCCAGAAAAATCTATTTGGTTGCTAAAATTACAAAGTAATGCAAGGAAGTGATCGATAAATATGTCTAGGTAGTAAGATGGAGATTTAAATAAGGAGGATTAGATGGGGGGGATAGGACACGAAACTGAGTTTTGGGGGGCCTCCCTGGTGGTGCAGGCGATTGAGCAGAACGCTGTGGAGCTGTCTGCAGCCTCTGCAGTGTGGGTTCAATCCCGGCCAGCCGGGGAGATACCCACATGGCATGGCAGATCTCTCCTGTCTCGCCTGCTGCTCCCCTCCACGGTGTATTTCAGTAGATCTGCTTGTTCTGTTCCCCACTCTGTCTCCGGTGAATCCTCTTAACCCCCACCCCAGCACATCTGGCCTGTACCCTGGCTCTTGCATGCATGAATAAATAAATCTTAAAAAAACCCTGAGTTTTGGGGATCCCCAGAAAGTTAAAACTTCTTTACTAGGTGATGATTTCTAGATACGTGTGTGTGTGAGTGTGTGTGTGTGTGTGTGTGTTGGTGATAATGGTAATGTGATTTTCTGTTTTATGTATTTTATTTCATAATAAGAAAAGGGTTTTAGAAAACAGTGCAGTAAAGTATCTTTAAACTTCTTGTAGCTTCAAATTTTATATTTTTGAAAGTCCATTAAATTCTTCAGGAGTAAATTAAATTTTCTGCACCAACAATCTTATTGCCAAAAATCTGATGTCTATTCTATATTGCATTAAATATTTGACAGAGGAAATTAAGCTAGTTGATGTAAGATAACAATTTTAAAAAGCCTTTTCTCTTACAAGATATGAGGAATGAAAATCTTAGAATTTTGAAAAAGGAATGGTATCAAGGAAATACTTTGTTCTAAACTAAAAATTCTCACAGTGACAGTGAAAATAATTATTTGTTCTTTCCTTATTAAATTTTTACATGTCTAAATTTAGACAATTTGTAGAAAACTATGCCCTGCTAAGGGTAATAAGTAAGAAAAGGACTCAAGCAGAAAGGTCTTCTAGAAATAAAAAGAAGTAGCAGTTCATTGTAAAAAATAATTTGTCATATTTTAATGTAAAAAAAAATTCCTTCATGTTCCAACAAAAAGGTAAATAAACTGCAACATTTTATAGAAGATCACATTTTTTACCTCACGAACTCAAAGAAAACCAAAATTATGAAAAACATTAAAATAGTAACTATTACTATTTGAATTTATTGTAAATTGTATTGTACTCAATAATGACCTAGATTTTTCCAATTTCTATATAATACTTTATATATGATTTATGGAAGTTCCATTTATATTGTGAAGCTACTGAGGAGTTATTTAAAATTAGCATATGTAATAAACTCAAACTATGCCTCACTCCAAAAGAGATGGTTTTGCATTTGAAGAACTTGAGTCAATAAATGAAGTTACAGGCTTCCCTGGTGGTGCAAGGGGTTAAGTCTCAGCACTATGAAGCAATCTGCAGCAAGAGTTCCTTCCCCAGCCTGTCAGGGAGCTACCCACATGGCACAGCAGACCTCTCCTGGCTCACCATCTGCTCCCCTCAGCAGTGTATTTCAGCCAATCTGTCTGTTATTCTCCCCACTCTGTCTCTGGTGAATCTCTCACCAACCCCCCTTCCTTGCACTTCTGGCCTACAACCCAGCTCTTGTATGCATAAATAAATAAATCTTTAAAAAAATAAATGAAGTTTCCATATTTTTTTAGTTTGCTCAGAGAACAATAGGTTTAGGTCAACCAGAGACAACTTATTTTTCTTTCAATGTAGTTATAAGATAATCATTCACTTACCCTCCATGATGGTCAAAGGATCTTCCACTTTAGGTCGAAGGATATTAGGGCCAAAAACAGTGGCCAAGTTCTGCACACTCATTTTGTTAACTCCAGAATAGGACTGTACTTCATCCAAGAATCTGTTGAGTATAAAATATGAACAAACACAATGGAATCATTTTTGTCAGTGAAAGAAAATGGGTCATTGGGAAATATATGAGCTGGAGAGTGTTCAAAGATGATTACAGACAAACTTTTTTAGAAATTCAAGTATCAGTCATATGTGGTAAAAATATATTGCAAATTATTAAAGATCAAACTTTATGGATCATATTAAATATCAGCTCTGGTATGACTTGTCTTGGTTTCCTCTGTCAGTCATAGGAACAAATGTATTTGGAAAATGCTAATACAGACTTGAGAGACAAGACTAATGGTGCAGGATTATGGGTGCTTTGGTGGTGGGTGTGGTAATGTATATCTGAAAGGTGTGAGCCTATAATTCTTAATCATATACGGTGTTTTAAACCAATGTTACCTCAATTAAAATATGGATTCCCTTCCATCCCTAAATATATGCAGTTAAATCAAGAACTATAAATTAGATCATTTGATACAATCCTTTTATTTCAGAGAGGAGAAATCAACCTTTTTTATGGGGTAATTTGTAAGCTTCTAATTTATAGTATATTAAAAATATAGGCAAACATGGTTTAAATTAAAACCTCAGTTCTACTAATATGAAAAATTGCAAGCACAAAAATCAATTGCTTCAACTTATTAGATGCTAAAGAATAAGAGGCATGAAATAGGCCTTCCTCAAGTGATTTTAGTAGGAAGGATTGTTTTTGTAATCTTTCAGGTCTTTTTTTCTCCCCACCCCATGTTCATTTCTGTAAGAGCTTCTGTAATTTCATGGCTTATTAATTCTACTGATGAGGCAAAGAAGAAATTAGGAAAAATAACTTCTTTGTGTTACTTAAAATACTATATTCTGTACCAGTCATTGTGCTAATGTATTAAATTCTCAAAGTGTCTATGTGAGATAAATTCTATTATTATCTCTACTTTGCAGATGAGACACATTAGGCACAAAAGAGGTTAGGGATCTTTTCTAAGGACACAGAACTAATAAGTGGTAGCTTGAAATTTGAATTTACATGCTTAAACCTTAGAATCTGTGTTCTCAACTACTATATCTTGACTTTAAAAGTAAGTGCCTATACCAGGAGAAGGAGATCCTATACCTCTAAAACACAAATAATGATGTAAATGATTTTATTAACTCAATTTTAAAAAGGATAAAAAGTTTTGAATAGCATCATGCCACTTCAGTTAACAACAACAAGGTGTCCACATCCACATGTTCACTATGAGTATGCAGTCTAAATTTTACTAGGACAGGAGGGTGAAAAGTCAAACAAAAGCTAAAATTAAAAGTTTTCTTAAATGCATCAAGAAAGTTCAGTTTTGCCACTGCGGAAACAGACTACAATATGATTCTCAAACAAGCCTTTTCCCTCCTTGTACTTCAGGAGATTGTAACCTTTTTATCATCCTCTATGATAGCCTAACTGATTGAAAAATCTTGGCATGGAAGTCTTACATGTTAGTAAGTCTATGCTGCCAGTGAAAATATTTCTTAATTTTTTTCAGATTCTGAAACTGAAGATCTTATTTGCTTCTTTTAAAAAAATTACTTATATTTTACTTTAATGAATTTATTTTAATTGAAGAAATATTTGGATAGACCCATCAAATATTACCACTATAGTGCACCCACCACCAAAATCACGCATTGTCCATTGTGTTTTCTTCCCTCTTTATTCTTACCACTGTCTTTCCCTCTTATTTGCCTTTTAAACATAATTATAATCAGAAAAGGTTATGATAGGTTTTAGAATTCCTACTTAGTGTTGACAATGAACTTCAATGTCTGGCATTAGTCTTAATGCCATAGTTCCTAGTCTGCTGAATATTTATCTAATCATGCACACAAAAAACAAACATAAATAATGCATTGTACTAAATTAAAAATTTAAATTTTCTTTTTAAATGCACTGGGAAGATATCATTTAAGACATCCAATACTTGTGTCAATCACCAATCTCTTTATTTATTTAAATTTTATGTTTCCTTGATTTATGTAATATGTTTCTATTTTACATATTTGCTTTCTTAAACAGGAGCACAGGCATGGCACAGACCATGCATGGTTATTGACAGAGAGCTTTACCAGGCACAATTGTTATTCTTTTTATTCCCCCCATGTTATAGATCTTATTTTTATTTGGAGTTTATTATGGAACAGTTACTGCTTTGGTCCTTAACAATTCACGGAAATTTATTTTGTTAGATCCCTTCCAGACAATAACCGTAGTGCTTACTTTTTATTTGTTTATTTATTTGAGAGTAAGCTTCAGACACATGCCCTCTTACTCTGAAGCGACCATGAAGAATCTCCTTAGAAGAAGGCCTTATTCCCAGGTGGCCGTGACTCTGTTTCACATGTAAAAACTGTGAGGAGTATAACTTTAAATCTTTTATTTCTTTTTAAAATAAAATAAAAAAATTATTATTTTTTATTGAGGCGACATAGGCTTACAACACTGTGCATGACTGAGGAATAGAGGCTCCCCCTCCTCAGCAGGAGGGGGAGCTGAGGAGGGGGAGCCTCTATTCCACAATTGTTATTCTTACAGAATTAAGTTACACATATCTTTTCAATGAGTCTTAGGTGGGAGCAAAATGAAAAGAAAATGATATTTATTGAACACATACTATACATTAATCCTGTAAAAACATAATTTAATTTTTTTAAACTGTGAAATGTATGATTTTACTGTCCTTTTACTGTCCTTTCCAGACCCTTAGACTCAAAGAGGAGAAGAAAATTGTATAAAGGCATATATGTTGTCTATGCTCCCAAGCAGATCTTTCATACCCAGGTATATGCTCCTGTTCAATAATGGCACAAAGGACATATACAGATGACTTTGGAAGTTCAAAGCAACATACTTTAATATGCAGTAGAAAGAAAAACTTTGAAACAAAATTATACAATGAAGCACTTTTCACAGTCAAAGAAACCTTTGAGCTTACCTTGTCAAACCTCTTAAATTTACATAAGCCAACAGTGCAGCTCGGAGCAATTAAGTGATTTCAGTCATTGTCAAATATAAGTTCATGTCAGGTTAAGTCTTGTTTTGTCTTTAGGACAATTCTTACCTGCAAATATACTTGAGGAGGTTATAATTGACCACTGGCAAACTCTTCACTTGCTTTGCTAATTCCTTAACACCCTGAGTATAAAAAAGAGAATAAATGTTATCTTTCTAACTGTTGGTTCTGCAATTAAAGCTAATGGGAAAATGGTCATCCATTTTTAAAATTCATTTGACATATTATCAGTGAAAGATACTGTCCTAAAAACCTGTCACCATCACAGCGAATGTTTTGGAAATGTTTTCGAAGATGTGAAAGCATTTTAAATGTCACCATAAGCACTATTTGTAGAGAAACATATTTAAGTGAAATGAAGGTCTTCTAACATTTTTTAAAATTTTTTTCTTCTTTTTAGTAACTATTTTTTTTTAAGATTTATTTATTCATGCATACAAGAACCGGGATACAGGCCAGATGTGCATGAGGGTGAGAGGATTCACCAGAGACAGAGAGGGGAACAGAATAGACAGACTGACTGAAATACACTGCTGAGGGGAGCAGCGGGCAAGACAGTAGAGGTCTGCTGCGACATGTGGGATTCTCGCTAGCCAGCTGGGATTGAACCCGTGCTGCAGAGGCTGTGGACAGCTTCACAGTGCTGCGCTCAAACGCTTGCGCCACTAGGGGAGGCCCTCTTCTAACATTTTTAACAATAGTTCACACTTGACTGAAAAGGGAAGATAGCTTCATATATAATAAAGTTATTTGGTTAAAAAAAAAAAGTAGCCTTGATGTAGTGAGGATTCTTCTTATTTTTAACATGTCTAATACCCAAACACACATCTACCAATAAGTCTCTCAAGACAGGTTATGTCTCAGTTTTGGAGATGAGATGAGGATTGGAAAACCTGATCTTCCTGGAAATCCATAAAGAGTTTGAATGTCTTGGTTCTTCTCCTTGTAGAATTTAATCTAGAATGCAAATGGTCCCAGAAAAGAGAATAGAAAATGAAATTTGGTCTGTTTTCCTTGGAAAGCCAGTTGTTTTAAATTTCTACGGGGTATATGTCTGAATCTCTACTACTCAATAATTCTACCATAACACAAAAGCAGTCACAGACAATATTTTATAACAAATGGAATAAAAGTTCATTTACAGAAATAAGCAGAAATTTTGACCTGAGTGCCAAGAAAATCCAATGGGGGAAGAATAGTAATTTCAATAATTGGGGCTGGAATTACAGGAAAGTCACACACTAGAAAATAGTGAACTTGAACTTCTTCTCAGACCACAAAGATTAGCTCAGATAGGGCATAAGCCTAAACATAAGAACTAAAGTTATAAAATTGATAAAAAATATATAAGATCACATCTTCATGGCCTTGGGTTAAACAAAGTCTTCTTAGATATTAGACTAAATACAGAAGTGAAAAAAGAAAATGCTTGAACTTCATCAAAATTAAAATTTATTGAGCTTCAAAGAATGAAGAGATAATCCATAGAATGGGAGAAAATATTTGCAAATCATATATCTGATAAAGACCTTTATTCAAAATTATATAACGAACTCTTACAACTCAACAAAAACAAGACAAATAAACCAATTTAAATTAAATGTTGTGAACATATGTTTCTCCAAAGAAAATATAGGAATAACCAACAAGTACATGAAAGGATGTTTAATATCATGAGGCATCAGAGATAGGCAACTCAAGCCTCGATGAGATACCACTTTGCTTAGAATGATTTTAATTTTAAAAAAGACAGAAGTAGAAGAAGAAGCAGCAGAGGGAGATGGAGAAGACCTAGAGGAGGCACATGGAGCAGAGAGACATGTGGAGAAATTGTGCTTGCTTCTTGGCCTTGGACCTATCCCCACGGTCTTGGGGAGACACTTAAAAGAGACAGATGTGGGTGAGAGACCCATAGGGAGGCTGACAATGGCAGACTTTATCTTGACTTGGGTTTTGATTTTGCCTTTTTTCCTTCCAGACTTGCCTGGCCCCTTCTGGTCCTTTTCTGTGGATGTCCACTAGAAGGTCCCTTTGACTGTGGAACATCTTAGGGCCTCAGCAATCCTGAGTCCTGCTTTGGGCCAACCCTGTTTGGATGGCATTTACCAGTAAGGGGATGGATAACCTTGGGTATTTAATTGGAAATTATTTTAAGCTATTTTCTTTCTCTTCTCTCTATTATGCACTAATTGTATCAAAATTCTTTTTTTATTGAAAAATAGATAGACAGACAGACAGACAGACAGACAGACAACAAACTAGTGCTGGCATAAATGAAAAGTTGGAACTGATAGGAATTTAAAATTCATTTCCTCTTTGGAAAGCTCAGATATATATGGCCCATCAATTCTACCTCCTACATATGAATAGAAGAAAAATGAGAGCATGTACCCATGCAAAAATTTGTACATGATAATATTCATAGCAGCATTATTGATAACAGCCAAACAATGGAAATAGCACATATGTCCTGCAACTGATGAATGGATGAATAAGTAAAAGGAGTGAAACACTGATACATGACAAAGAAGATAAACTGAAAACAATGAAAGCAGTCTTATACAAAGGGCAACATATCAAATGATTCCATTTATATGTCCAGAATAGATAAATCTAGGAGACAGAAAGTAGATTAATATTTGCCAAGAGCTGGGGAAAGAGGAGCTTGGAGAGTAGGTCTGGAGTTTGTTATGGAGTGATGAAAATGTGATAAATATTATAAATTAGAAATTGGTGAAGGTTGTACAGTTCTAAGGATATACGAAAAGCCCTGAATTATATACTTTATATAGGTGATTGTATAGTTATATACTAATAGGCAGAAGGTAGTATTTGTTTGAGGTTATTGAGGGGGGTACACCAGGAGAACAGGAGGAGGAAATGTAGCACCATGGGTTCGTGAAATGCTGGGTCTGCTGTAGCACCACATTAATCATTTAAAGGGGCATAGTGGCAAAGAGTGCTAATTTCATTTATCCAGTTACATCTTTCATTCTAATCAGGCAAGGAATTAATAATGGGGCCTAAGTTGTATGTGTGATGTCTAAATCTGTGAGTTGTCAATACACAAAGTAGTGAAAACTATCTAAGGATAAGACAAAGAAAAATTTACAGATTAAAGACTTTGAACACAGACAAAGACCACAAACAAAACTTTGGAAAGGAAATAAATGCATCAACTTACTGCTTCCTCTTCTTTGCTGAGCAGTTTGGCACAGGACAGAAAGTCTTCATACTTTGCATATGGAATAACAGGTTCCGGGAGTTCTCGGAGATAGAGTTTAAGAAGTGAAGCCACCGTGTGTACATCAGTGTTGCTGTGAAGATAGAAGTGTGAAGATGTTTGGAGTGAGACTAATACCATTTAACTTACTACTGCATCAAACATACACCTAAGAGTCAAAATTTTATACTAGTTGGCAACTGAAGCCGTCAATTCACTCTCGAGAAAGCACATGCCTTTTGTAATGCCCATTAGAAGCTACTACATGTGGAAAGAAGAGGGACTTAGAAAGGTTTTAGGAATCTTCAGCATGATTTGTAAATATTCACTTCAATCACTTTATTTTTGTGCGTATTTGGAATCAAGCATAAATGTGGAAAAATTAAATAATGAGAATATAGCAGACATTAAATATAAATATAACACAATATATAAAAAAATGCCAAAACTACATATGTGTATAGGAAAGTGTTCACTGTCAAAATGAATTACTTCTGATTCCTAATTTCATTTCTCAAAATGTCACACCTGTTCTTGAGAAGACATTGGTGACTGATTATAGATATACCTAAAGTTCAATAAGACACAATAGAACTTTTTAAGCCAAACTCATTTTGAAGATGATTGTTTTCCTAATAGTCTAAGATCATCAGGAATCCTTAGACTCTAGATAAAGAAAGTGCTACAAAAATAAACAATGAAAACTTAGAGCACCTTTTATGTAACATGCAAACTTTGCTAAATGCAATAGTAGCAGAATTATTCACTAAAATACTAATTTATAGCTTGTTCTCTAACTTCCCTTTTTAATCAATGAAGACGACTAACAGTAAAGACATGAAGACACATTTGTTTATATTATTAATATTTTTTTTTCTTTTGGGATAGGAGAACAGGAGCATAGGAAGGAGAGATTGGTAGGTGGCAAGTATAAAGCCAAGATTGGCAGTGAAAAAGATTAGGGAATCTGAAGTAGTGAGAACATACATTCCACTTTCAGACTGTGTTATAGGAAGTCACAAGTCCCAGGGAAGGTATGTCTGCCATGACAAACTGGAAGGCAGGTATTAGAATTTCTTGTTTCACTGAGTAATCTCCTGCCTCAAGGGTGTCGTGAAAGCAGAACTGACCTCACAAACCACATGGACTGGGATCAATGGAACCTCAGTCCTCAATTTTAGACTCACAGGTTGATGTTGCCAGGTATTTCCCATACAGCTACACTGAATTGGGCATCATGGAAACATAGTAGCTAGCAGTTAAAAAAAAAACATAATTTATAATCAAGTAAGGACAGGAGATATTAAGCAGATGATACCATAAACATATCATTACAAAGTGTATGGAGTACTAAGGGAAACTAATAAGGATGCTATCGAATGAGCCAACGAATCTAGCAGTAGGAAGACTTCTCTGTCATGGTCTGAAGAGTGTGTAACAGATATCTATGTGAGAACACAAGAATAGCAAAGAACATTCCTGATTAAAGCAAGGCAGCAAACCATGTTCAGTGTGGAGGAAGAGTCTCAAGCTGAGGAGCTGACAAGAGGCTAGTGAGACTGGAGTTCAGAGTGGGACTGTTTGAGGTTTGAGGGGTTGGCAGAATCCCCATGAACCAGGGGTCTCAGAAACAGACAGGGTTTTCCCTTTGAACTTCGGAGTAAGTCAGAGCAGGTTTCAGTAATTTCTAAAAATACTTTAAACATTTTTGCATAAAAAATAAACCTAAAACAGTCTCAATGGTAAGACAGACAGACATTACCTTTTTATTCCTGGCAAATCACTCTATTTCATGAATATCATGAAATTTGTTGGTTTCATGTGTTTCTCATGTTTTTATGGCTATATAGCAAAGCACCTGCCTGATCCATGAGGGTATAATCATCGTTTGTATCAAAACCATGCCCTGGAGCAGGATATGCAGTATAATCAAAGATTGCAATAAACTATTTCCATCCTTTGATTCCACTATAATTGAAGCCAATCCATCATATGTTGGAATCATATTGCCTTCAGAGTGCATACCAATACTTAGTTAAGAGAAGAATATATGGGCAATATAAAATAATATAAAATATATATGATTTCAAAATATTGAGTGTGCCATGTATAATGTATATTTATAATATAGCTAAATAAAATGATGAAATACCTCGGAAATGAATGCAATGAATAAGATACTAATGATAAAAAGCAATATATATCTAACAAGAAATTTGTTTTAGTGCTTCATTGACGGACTATTCAGCACGATGACTCTCCTTAAGCACTGTTTATAAACTAGCTTGATTGTTACTTCTGTAGTATTTGCTTCTAATGACTCACAGTACTAGAGACGTTTGAACACTAGATGGCAGAATTGCAAAGTTAGAATAATCCAGACGATGCAAAATTGTAAAGGATGCAAGGTTGCAGAATCATTTCTCATTGCCAGCAATTTTCTTAGCACCAAAGCTGCAGTAATTTTCACAGAAAAGGAATATTTGAGCTATGAATCAAGGTAAGGGACGTGTAGTGGGATGATTATTTTAATCCTCCCTAAAGTGATACGTTACATTAGCTTTCTAGCATACTCACACACTTAGTTCTATAGAAATGATGAAGGGGAAAAAATGACCAAACATTTTCTTTCCTTTTAAGCAAAAAAGATTATTATATTTTTGCTTCAAGGCTAAAACTGAAAAATGTATGACTCTTTTGTCGGTTTTATTAAACGTATTTTGCAGGAATAAAGACTTCTACATTTCCTTAGCAGTCTCATTTCTGGCTTCGCCCTTTCCACTGAATGGAAGAAAAACAATCACTTCTGGGCAGACTCCAACACATTTGCCAGTGCTAGTTCACGTCAAAAGTCCAGAGTCCACTCACTATGCCACCTCCTGCAATGGGAAGGCTGGCATTTCTGAAGAATCTTTCTTTATGTACCTGTGCTCAGAACTGAGCCAAGAATAATGATGTGACCCCTGTCTTAAAAGCCACTGAACTACATTCCTTGGGGCCATTATGTTAGCTTGCCTAATGTTTGTGGAAATATTCTGGTTCCTTCCAAGGGTGCTAATAACATTGTGCCTGAGAACACCTGCAGGTCGTTTTAAATTGATAATGCAGAAAAGAGCAACTCTCCCAGAAATATTGTCTTGTGATTGGCTGGCCCCAGCTGCCCAAACCCCCCACCCCCCAAACCCCACCAGGGGACTGAGAATGGAGAAACTGTCCCCACTCCTGCAGGTCCCGAATTCCTTTCTTTCCTATACAATCTTTCAGTCTTCTTTCACTCATCACTCTGTGAGGAGGCTTTTCAAGTTTTATTTATTTATGCATATAAGAACTGGGGTACTGGCCAGAGGTGTGGGAGGTGAGAATATTCATCAGAGACAGAGTGGGGAACAGAACAGGCAGAGAAACCCAAGTACACTGCTGAGGGGAGCAGCGGGTGAGACAGGAGAGGTCTGCTGGCACATGTGGGTTGCTCCCTGCCTGGCCGGGGATCGAACTTGTGCTGCAGAGGCTGCGGACAGCTTCACTGAGCTGCATTCAACCCCTTGAGCCACCAGGAAGTGCCTCTGCGAGGTGGCTTTTTTTGAGTACTGACACTACTTCCATCTGATGTGGTGCCACTTGCTAATAAACAGTTTCCTTAGAGGAAATTATCTTCTAGTTCAGAGTCAGACTTTCTGCGTAAGAGTGATGCAATCCAGTTTAGGTAAGTAACATACCATGCAAAACAAGCAACCTTCTGCAGCAAACTGTCTGCCTGCTATCTTTAACTGATATCCCATTACCTTGCCTAATTAATATTTGCTTTAAGGTGCACAGTCAATTAAGTAAATTCCAATATTGTGTGTTAATTGCCCAACTCAACTAGAGGAATTTACCAGCTTTGTCTTACAGAAATGTACCTCAGCCTTCATAAAGATAAGGTAAAGTGACTACATTGTGGCAAAAGTTGATGTAAATGGGGAATCAAAATCCCTAACCTTGTTAATAACAGCAGCAGCAGCAACACAGACCCTTATGGAACTCCTGTCCCAAGCCCACACAGCACTTCAACGATTAGGTTTGGCTGTGAACCCCACTTCTGTGAATAACAGGAAATTGCATGGATAAATTCCTTTTGCTTAATCTCTGAGATATGAAGGATTTTAATGTCATGAACTTTTATTAGAAATTCAAAACTCGGGGCCTCCCTGGTGGTGCAAGGGGTCAAGTCTCAGCACTGTGAAACTATCCTCAGCCACTGCAGCATAAATTCGATTCCTTGGCCAGCCAGGGAGGTGTCCCACATGGCACAGCAGACTCTCCTATCTGGCCTTCTGCTCCCCTCAGCACTGTGTTTCAGCAGATCCACTTGTTCTGCTCCCCACTCTGTCTGTGGTGAATTCTCTAAACCCCGCCTCCCCCTGCACTTTTGGCTTACACCCCAGCTTTTGCAGGCATACATAAATAAAATAAATCTTTTTTCTTTTAAAAAAAGTAATCCAAAACTATATGCTGGGCCTCCCTGGTGGCACAAGGTGTTAAGCACCACACTATAAACAATCCGCAGCCTCTGCAGCATGAATTAGATCCCGACCAGCCAGCGAGAGGCCCACATGGCACAGCAGACCTCTCCTGCCTTGCCCGCTGCTCCCCTCAGCAGTGTATTTCAGTCAGTCTGCCTGTTCTGCTCCCCACTCCATCTCTGGTGAATCATCTTACCCTCCACATCTCTGGCCTGTACCCCAGCTCTTGTATGCATAAATAAATGAATCTTTAAAAAAAAAACTATATGCTAATGCATAATCATTATACAGACATCAGGTCTCCTTCATTCACCTTGTGGTAGAATCTGTTTTCAGAAATTAAGATACATAATCGTGCAGTGATAGCAAGGAGTCGGACACAGGCCCAGGGATGCTGAGAAGAGGAATTGTCAGACTAGGAAAGCTCTGCAGCATCTGTCCCTTAATTGATCAACATATGGGTTTTGTTTCCACTTTAGGTTATAATTGAGTTTTTTATTTCTGATTCCTATATCCTTGTGTGTAGAACTTTTAAATCAAATTTAAAGGGAGAGGGCCTCCCTGGTGGCACAGCAGGTTGAGCGCCATGCTG